TCTGAAACTCTTCGTTGGTCAGATTATCCTCCGGAAACGGAACTTCTTCGCACGATTCAACGATTTCCCGGCACTTTTCCGTCTCCGATCGCCGGAGTGAAGGTTTTGTCACCGTCTCTTGGCTCTGTTTCGCGGTAATCTCCGATTTGCTTCTTCGATAAACCTTCGTGGGATGATCCTTCTCCGAATCAGTAACCGCAACTGAGTCATTCTCTGATTCGATCGCCACGTGATCTTCACGCGCCACCGTGGAATTTGAATTAGAATCCGTTTCAGTGGCGATCACCTGTTTGTCGTCGTAGACGATGTTCTCTTCCGTTATGTCTCCGTCGGACGAATTGGCGCGGTTCTCTCCGGATCTGATGAACGCCTCGTAGATATCCATCTCTTCTCCGGCGCCGATTGTCCTACCGGAGGAGAAGACGGTGGATTTGGTAGTGAGGAGAGCGACAACGATGGAGTTACCAAGGACGAACACGAACAGAGGAGTGGAAACGACGCAAGCGAGACGACGGAGAAACTCGCCGGAGATACGAACGAGGAAAGGGAGGCAAGTGAATATCCAACAGAGGAAGAGAAGAGCGACGCAGATCTCCGTCACGCGAAACAGGAAACCAATGCTCTGGAAACGATGCATCGCCTTCGCTTTCTCCGCCTTCACGCTGTCGAAATCGATCGAATCCATTTTTCTGATTAGAAAAATGTGAGATTGAGAGAGTAGTTTTCAGGGGAAATTCGAATAAGGAAGAAGAGGAAGAAGAAGGAGGAAGTGGACCCATGCCTCTCCCCAAGCGTCTCTTTTTTATAGACTCTCTCTTCTTCCCTTTCTCTGTTTTTCCTTCAAATAATTTTAACTTTTCTTCCACTTTTTTTCTTTTACCTTTTTCATTTCTTTTTTGGGGTCTAATTATTAGAATTAGTACAATTATTTAACACTAAATTTTTGACTATTTTTTATGAAACTCTTAATATTTTTAGATTAAAACAATCTGTATCTAGGAGTAAAGTGCACAACACTTTGACGAAAAATAACTAAAAAACCACTTATAAAACGGGAGAAATATATAGGGGCCAAAAAAAAGGGAAAATATATATTGAGTTATAATATCTTCGTGTTAAAATGTTTGAACTAGTTGACAGAACAAACAAAAAAAATGTTTGAACGAGTTACAGCTGTTTATTAACAAACAAGAGTAAAATAGAAAAATATATATATATAAGAAAAAAGGGAATTGGACCGGGCAAAATGAAAATGTGATGTAAGAAGGAATCAGGTTTTCACGTGAGCCGTATGGAATCCGTATAACCACCGCTCTTTACCACTTTGCTTTATATCTTTTCCTCTTCTCTTTACCAACATTTTGGTTATTTATCTTATATATTTCTCGTGTATCTCACCGTTTCATTTAAACTACACTCTGCAATATCTACATTTTCAAAAAACTCGTTTGCATTTTCTACATTAGAGAAATCTTGTTTTAAATTTCACTTTTTTCAAAAATAAAACCAGTTAATGTCTCTGACGGGTATCCTAAATAAACAGCTATTTAATATTTAACGACTATTTTTTTTTGTTTAAAGCCTATTTTTCTGATACATGCAAATTGCCCTAATCTAATCTCATTTGCTGATGAAACTAGTAATCACGTGTGCATAAAAATAAGACCGAGCTTATTTAGATAAAATTAAATATGATTCTATGATTAGTTTACACGTAATATCGCATTTAATACGGTCACATGGTTCCGAGAAAGATTCTACAGATAATTAAACTTCCATTAATCACGTGTGTATAAAATACCGTACATTGTATTGTAGAGACATCTACGAACTTTGTCTCAAAAGCCCATTGTCCAAATTCTTCTCTACCTTCCATTTTAAATTGATTTTTAGTTTTTTTTACCCGTAACCTTCCTTCAAATTATTTTTACAAATTTATTCGTCTAGGAATTAATTTATATACTTTGGTTAACCGGAGAATATATTTTAAGATGGATCTTTTACATTTTTTAGTTTGTGTACATTCATTATTGGAAACGAAATATATTAAATTATGGCGAAAGCAAGTTCGCAAAACACCGAAATTGTAAGTTGTCAGACACGCAATTGTTTATGTCCGAATTTATTCGCATCTAACACTTTAGTGTTTTTTATTTGCATACTGTTTTATAGCACGTAGGATTGTCATATAAAAAAATACTATAAGTCTATATGAATAATTTCATATTAATACATAACATATATAAAACACACTTTATTAACAAAAAGAAACAGACATACTATTTCCGTTGGTATATTAGGTGAGGCCTAATGAAAAGATATTCGGCTAAAAGATCCAAAGAATGCTTTGAAATCGGCTCAATTAGATAATTAGAAGCCACACTGATAAAAATGGGAAAATAGTTAGTGGATAATAAAGATTGGTCGACCCATTGCTTTAATTTTGATTAATTTCCTTTAGTTTCTGCCCATAAGTTCCACTTACATGCGTTATTATTTGTTCACACAAACCACACACATGCACGCACGACTATAATTAGCATACATGTGTATACTAATTATATATAATGGCAATGGTACATAACATTAATGTTTCACAAATCGTAGGAGAGGAGAGGTATTTTGTTTACTACTAATAGCAAATTAGCGGATATTAAGTTCAAATTTCATTATGTATTACGTAATTTTTTATAAGAACAAAATGTATGAAACACTGATATCGTTTACTTATTCGGAGTCCTAATTCAAACTTTGACCACTACTCACGCTATATTATTGACATTGCCAGATTGATTTGATTTATAGCTCAGAGATGGAAAATATCATCATGATATTCAAGAACGATTTGACATAAAACGACACCATATTATCTTCATACATTTCCGAACTACACAGCGTTGTTACTAAAGTAACTATTTTTAAATTGTATTATTGGGTCATCGTCAATCTCTGCCAAAACTGTACTTTAAAGATTGAGTTTGACAGAGTGATGGACGTATCTTGCTCTTAATTAAATATTTAATATTTATAGAAACGACACGCAGTTTTCATCTCCTATAATAAGACGCCATTGCGTGTGGCAACTGTCACTCCGCCCATTGTATTCACTTTTTCACCCATACTTCACTCTTTTTAACCATACTTTAAGGTATACTATTGTTTCCAGGTTCTAACTATTTGTTAACTATTTAACTTAATGGAATTACATTTTAAAAAAACTTGGATGAAAGAATGCAAATTTTTATATTGATTTCAAATTTGATGTGTGACCTGCAGGGTATTTATTTTCAAACCACGTATATCTGTAAAATTAACACAACCAATGAAAACTATTAATATATTACATGGCTCTAAAATCAAAAGAGAAAACCAAGTGGAACTATAAAGAGGAGAGAACATTCTTGTGGAATGAACCATATATATATATATATATATATATATATATATTCCTTAAGGTCAGAGTTCCATAGTGAAAATAATACAACCCATTGGTATAATTTCATCAAATTTTACCACTTCTGGAAATAATTCCAAGTTAGTTTACATCTCAATAATCATCAGATGGGAATGATAGTGACTATGTAAACTACGTCTCTACCACCTACATAATTTATATTTACCTTCATATATAACGCATCCATATGCAGCTTACAAAGTTATTTGAAATAAAAGTTAAAAACTGATAATGTTTCTGTGCTAACTAATTCGTGTGGTTTGAAAACTATTTCAGCCAAAAAATTAGAAAATCGACTAGCAGAAAATCGCAAACTATAATTTAAAATTTTCCTTAACACGAATTGAAATTTCCGTCGCATCTATCAATTAAATCCAAATGGTGTATTGTCTAGATATTGGTGTTTTTTTTTTTTTGCTTAACGTATTGTCTAGATATTGTTGGTTAGTTATTTACGACCATACAGCAACAATTACAAAGTTTTTTTTAGTATTAAAATTACAAGGTTTTAAACGAGAAGAAGCATTTTTCACATAAGGTTGAATATGTTTCAATGCCAAAAAAAAGATGGACAACAATCTAATCTGTAAGAAGCATACGTAAAGTAGTTTAAGCTGATAACAATTGGTCAAAATATAAAGAGCACTCTCCTTTTTGTCGTTGTATATTTTTTGAAAAGCATACGTGGAAAATTCTTCAAGGCATATTCGGCCTCCTTATGTATTTGTCTATCTTAGATTGATCATATGCTATATTGAAAATTCTTCAAGGCATATTCGACCTCCATCTTTGTATATCTAAACTTTATCAAATATGTTGTATTTAATATATACATATCTTAATTTTAGTTCATATGTTTCGGTAAGTCTGTGTACAGAATACAACAGAAAGCAACATTGTTCTAAAACGCTGAAACATTTAAAATGTTCTCTTGTTTCCAAAAAACAGTATAAACTATTCTTCCGAATAAAACGACGTGTACACACGGCTTTCTCACCGTTGATACATTAATTAGGTTATATTCGAATTTTAACGTATTGTATGACATATTAACTTTTTTTTTTTGTTCGAAAGTATGACATATTGAACTTTTCACCTTTGAATTTCATGTCAACATGACATATTCTTTTTTCTTTTCCACCGGAAAAATAAAAAGCATAAATGCCTTCCCGTATTTGAGAGATGGTTATGATGGGCTCATAAATTAAATTAATGGGCTTCGTATGAGGAAATATAAGCCTAATCATTTGTTACAATATTGGTTTACACGGTTGATTCCACCAACGCCACGTGGAAGAATATGAATGGAAAGGAATCAAGGATATAATAAAATGCGCCAAAGAATAATACAATTCCCACTTTCGAGCAAAACATTCAACGTGAAGGAAGAAGATTGAAGAAGCGTCTCAGGTTTCTTCTCTCCACCAAACCAAACAATTTGATTTTTTCGATTTGCAATTTTTTTCCTTCTCCGACGAATATTTACTCTGTGTAGCGAATAGCGATGCATTTTTGATACTGCGTTGACTTTATTTTCCTTGTGGAAATGGCAGCGTCTTCTCTCCTTCTCCGCCATTTCACCTGCAATCTCTACTTTAACCCTTCCCACTACTCTAGAAGATCGGAGATTTCAATCCGATTCCGGAGCTGCACTTCGATCGTTCCTCTTGGGTTTCCGATTTCTGTTTCTGCCGCTAGATCCATGACCGGTTTATTCAAAAGATTCGGTAGCAGAGACGGAGGCAGCAACGACGGAGACGAACAATTTGGGGCCGTGGAGCAAGAATCTTTCATCAATGGCTCGCCGGAGCTCCGTAAAGAGTTGGTCGCCGGCGGTGGGATCGAAGCCATCGTTAATCGTCTGGTGAGTAATGAAATCTCCTTAATGCACGCAAGGTGCTCGTCGAAATGCCTCAGTTTTGTGCTTTACTGATTTATTCAATTATTATTATTTAATGACAGAGCAAATGGGTAGTGTCTGCTCTGTTTGCTTCCATCATTCTCCTGCGACATGATGGTACAGCCTTGTGGGGAATCATTGGATCCGTTTCGAACTCGGCTCTCTCCATTGCTCTCAAACGTATACTCAACCAAGAGAGGCCTGCTACAACCTTGAGAACTGATCCCGGGATGCCATCTTCTCACGCACAGTCCATTTCCTTCATATCTGTGTTTGCTGTTTTGTCCGGTAAGAAAAAACTTGGAACACGTCATCGATTTTCACTACCATGGAACTGTTAGGACAATGGATTTGGTTATCTGCAGTTATGGAATGGCTTGGAACTAGTAAAGTCTCTTTGTTGCTTAGCGGCTTCATCCTCGCGTTGGGTTCATACTTTGTAAGTCTAAACATCATGAAATTATTGGATTACATTGAGATCTCCTCCCTAAGAAAATGCTTACGCTGTTATAATGTTTGCAGATACGGTTAAGGGTTTCTCAGAAATTACACACAAGCAGCCAAGTGGTGGTTGGTGCAATCGTGGGTTCTGTCTTCTGCGTGTTATGGTACACAACGTGGAACTCGCTCCTCCTTGAAACATTTGAGTCATCACTATCACTCCAAATATCTGTGTTTATGGTTGCATCTTCATTTGCGCTAGCTTTTGCTGCTTACGCTGTACTTAACTGGTTCAGAGACGATAGATGAGCAAGAAACCTTTAATTAATTTAACACTTGTCAGCCAAACAAAGAAGCTATAAATAACATTGCTTAAAATTTGTATCCCTCGATTTGTTTCAAAATTTCCATTTCCAAGGTTTCTTTTCTGATCTCAAGTCAAAAGCAGGCAACGAATAGAGAAAGAAAATAAGATAACACGAACCAAACCAAACTAAATATTAGTGAGTATGCCACCGCAAAGAACAAAGAAACATGTGTTTACAGCTACTCGGAGCTATACATCCCTCTTGCACGGTTAAAACAATAACCAAATATGTATATATTTTTTCTATTCACAAGGCGTGTGCTAAACGTCCTGGATCTTATTTTTCTCTCTTGCTCATATCAAACCCCACTATGGAGAAGACAAGAGGGGCTTACTTAATCATCCTTAAGACTTTGTGATGCTTCGAATGATGGTTTTGATGCAGGAATGTAAGACCATGCCAATGCAGCGCTCCCTAGAGTGATGGTTGCTGCAATTGATCCCCAAATCCATCTTTGCCTTTTCTTTCTCTTCTGCCTCTCTCGTCTTGCCACCTCTGGTTATCAACAAAGTTTGATATTAGATTACATTACAAACAAGAAAGACAGAAAATGACAGATGAATCATTTTGATTTTGATTTTTACCTATGGCCTCTTGGTTTCGTTGGGACATTTCTCGGTTCACGGCTTCGTAGTAGTGTACCCGGTCAGACAACCGTGTGATTTCAAAGTTCTTGGTTTCGAGCATAGATTCCATCTCCATCTCTACCTCCGCCTTGGCCATACCTCTGCCTAGAGAGTCGGAGACAAACCTAGCAACCTCGAATTGGCAGCGTAATTCTTCTGATAGGTTCATGTTGTTCGTGGAGGTGGTAGGATCGATAGGAACGAACAGATCCACCTGGGCCAACTGTTCACGGAGTCTCTGCCAGTGTATCTGCATCTGTTCTAAAGCCTCCTCCGTTTGTTTTCTCTTCTCGATTTCCATCAGTAAACTCAGCCTTATCTCCCTTAGTTCAGATTCGATGTTGTTAACCGAACTCTGCATTCCACTGTCTGTTGATAGTTCTGAAAAGCCAAGACAAGAAAGCTTCAACGTTAGGAACAAAACATTTCCCAATCATACCGTCGAGTTAATTTGCAAATACATGGGAAAAGAAATATGCCTTCATACTATTTCTGACTCACGACTCAAGATATCCAGAAGCACACAAAGGCTAAAAGTGCGCGTTAAAGAAACAGTACAGATATATACTCAGATGCATAAAATTAAAAGATACGGGACTCTAACATGTGATTGATCAAACTATCCCGGGAACGATAAGACCATTAAGCATTCACAGCCATCTCACAAGGAAATACTAAGTACGAAAGTGAGATTTAGATACGTACCATCCCAAGCATCATAAAACTCTCCCACAGGTGTAGCAAGTCTTTGTGAACCTTCCTCTCCTGCATCACCCTCTGTATAACTTGTGAAGCTTGCTGATTCACCTGGGTCATAGAAGTCTTCAGACTCACTCTCCTTGTCTGCTTTGGCAGTGACAGGCTCCGGCAGATTGTTTTCCCGTTCTAAACCATTGGCAGCATTATCCAACTCCGACTTCCCATTCCCATTTTCCCCGTCAAGCGGACCCCAATTCCCAACAGGGCCATCAGCAATCCCCTCAAAGCTAAAGTTTCCAACTTCACGAGCATGAACTCCATTGGCATAATCCTCTTCAGTGGCCTCACTTACAGGAAACGAGAACGAGGTGGACTTCCTCCGAGGTGAAGCCTTTACGCTTGTATCACCAGCAACAGCTTCATCTTCCAGGGTCTTCTGCTGGGAAGCCACGTTGGCCTCAGAAGAGCTTTTCAAAAGACGCGGTCCGCGTGATTTGTGGTTGATGATATACGGCGACGGCGGGAAAGAGGATGGAGAGTTGGGGAGAGGAATTGCATCGGGAGTGGCGTAGAGAGCCGGTGACATCTGAGGACGAGTGAATGTCCTCTCATTAGGTAACTTACCCTTACCTTTCTCCAGTTTTGATATTGGTGGCTTTGAATAAAACGACGCTGTGCTTGGAACTGTTTCTACGGATGTGGAAGCCCCTGGCTCTAGCATTCTATCCAAAGCAATAGCAGAAAAAGTAGGCATGGCTCTGCATCATTGAAGATTCATCAGATTAGTAAAGTCTCGCCAAAAGCAAAAAGAAATAAAACCACAAAGAGCTTTCTTTCATTTCAATTGAATCAGAAATGAAAACGAAACATGTAAACTAACAATGACTAAGTGAGAAATCAGCTAATTGGGAAGGTACAAAGCAAATACCGCATGCTCAAATCCACACCATCGCTACCACGAAGCTATACCTAACCAAAACTTTAATCAACAGAGATTCTCGTGGATAGCATCAAAAAAAACATCTCACGAAAACCTAAAATCGAGAAGAATCAGGCAAATCAACTGCAAAATCGAGAATCTAGAAGCTAAACAAAAGGTCAAGTCGGAGAAGTCAATCGAATCTCCCAACGCAAAGCAAGAACAACACCTCCCAAGATTCAAACCTACGATAACGAATTTTCCAGAAATCCCGCCGTAACAACAAGCCGATAATCCGAAAAGCATAACCAAATCACCAATAGAAATAAAAAAATCCCCCAATGCGTAAAATAACGATTACCTCACACGCGAAGTAGCTGGGAAGATCTAACGGAAGATTCAACGGTAGATCCTGGTTAAACGGAAGCGAGACGACGGCGAGAATCGGTAGAAGAAGAAGAGGCGTGATACGGCATCGTATAAGAAGATGCAGAGGAGGAGGAGGAGGGAAGAAGAAAACCTCTTCTCCAAGGCTTTTTTTTTTTTTTTAATCGCAAACGACACCTCCGCTTTGTCTCTCCGCAAATATTTGATTTGAAATCGCTCTTTCTCTTAGCTTCCTCCCCTATTCTTGGCGACCCATTTCTTAACAAATTCATTATTTTATCCTAATTGTTTTCTTTTTCTTTTTTCTTAAATCTAAATCCTGTTTTACTTCCTCCTTGGTCGTCGAACATTTGAGCTAAACGTGTCTTTTGCAAATATCTGAAAAGACGGATTTGACCTTTTACGGTATGACTCGCGAGAAAGGTCGGCGCGATAATAAGGGGTATTTTGTGTAACTAATTCAACGGTAGGGTTTCGAAGAGTAGTCGAAACGACATCGTTGAAGGAATCTTGTAAGTGGGTGGGTCATGATTGAGAGAACTGGTTCCATCTCGAATATTCAATCTACGTCATAGAAACGGTGACGTGGCAACATTAGGTCCTAAAGCAAAGATTTGTTGGTTTTTAACTTTTTAACGCATGGCCCAATTTGTCTATTCACGAATCTGTAAAGCCCATTTTGAAAACGATTTTAAAATGTTTTAAAAAAGTTGTTTTGTCTTCTTCAAATCTGGAATTTGATATTTTTTTGAGCCAATTCCTAAACGTGCCCCATGTGAACACGCTTACAAGAGTTTTCAAATTTTAAGTTAACAAAATATAGTTTTTAAAATCTGATCTTCCAAAATAAAGGAGACTATCTTACTCATTATTATATTATTCCTTTCTATGTCATTACTCATTACACTATTTGATGAGAAGAAAAAATCAAATGCATTTTCATTGAAATTTTGAAACTTTCATCCCTTTATTTTGAATTTTTAAAACAAAAAAAAAAAGTAAAGGTGTGAAATCAAGAATATGGAACCTGATTCAAAGCAAGCAACTCTGGACCTCCTATAACAGCAATTACGAATTGATTCAATTCTCATATAACATATCTTTTTATACACTAAGATAATCAAAACCAAGTTATTAATCATAATAAGCTGTTGGATCTTGAATTTATCTTATTCTTGAGAACTCAGTGAAAGTGTACTAAACACTCAACTTTTTTTGATACATCAATTCGTAAACACATGAAACATTCATAGTTTGAATAGAATCACGAATTGTTCTTTTTTCTTCCTCATAGATTATATATTAAAAAAAAAACAATATACACAAGTCTTTATTCATTTTGCTTCATCGAATCTATCTGTAATGAATCACAGGTGCGTTAGAACTCGGATCCCAAACACCTCCTTCCTTCACATATTCCATATACCTCGCAAACTCCGGTTTCGCTGTGGCCAAACTCTTCTTCTTCGTCGTCTTCTTCTTCCTCTGAAAACGAGCGTCAAAGAAACTTAACAAAGGATGAACAGAACCACCTGTTGGTTTCGCCGTTGGCGTCGGCGTCTTCTTCACCTCTTGAATAGGGTTTCTTGAATTACCATAAACACTAGCCGGAACGCTCGCGACCTTCTTCAGTCTCGGTTCTTCTTCACCGAGCTTTTCGTAGCCGCCATGGATCTTCCTAGTGCTCATGGCTCTAAACATGGTGGTAGAGTGGGGAAAAAAAAGATTTTGAGTTCTTTTTTTCGTCTGTAAGGTGTGTTCGTGAATCTTTCTTCTGATGGTGTTTATTTAAGTAAATAGACAAAGTTTTTGCCTTGTGATATGAAAACATTGAAAAGGAAAATAGTAGATCTGTTGACTTTTATTATTGCGTAGATCTCCAACTAACAAAATTAAATATGTGCATGATTTAATAAAAAGCATGTGTTAATGTTACACCCACATGATGTATACATCTCGTCCCTATTTAATCGCCGGTCAATTGTGTTTTATGCTGACTATTAACTACGTCTACATATATCTTTTAGACAATTCAAATGGGCATTGGCTTTAGAGTTTAGACTAACTTGTCGTTTGCAAAACTAACTTTCTTTGTCTCATTTAAATCCAACAATTTATTATTCTTGGAAAGAAGAACAAAAAGTTGGAACTTTGTCACAAGATCAAAGGAAAATTCTCAGAAACCATCTGCAAATAAATATCTGAAGCAATTGTTTCCAAATTCACGTATAGTCAAGACAGACTGAATTGGTCATATAACCATATTCTCTTTCTTGCTTAAAACCTTTTTTTGAAGTTAGACTTGGTCTTATATCTCTAACTATATGACTATTTATATATACATATATATAGATATATATATATATATCTTTGTGTTTTGTCATAATCTTAGGTCGGATTGGCAGATGGAAACACTATTCTTCTTAAAACCAGTGGAACGGACTAAGGAGTGATCATAAGACGAAAACACAAAAGAGAAACAAATAAATTCTACGACAATACAACAAAAAATATATTGTTTTGTCAATTAGTGAATCGGCCTATGGTTCATTTCTCTCATATATATATTTTAGTCTCAACTTACTTCACATGTGAGATTGGCAGCGGAGTTGGTGACTTGTGATAAAACTTGATTACACAATGAATAAATGTGGATAAAAAAAAAGCAAGCTAGGTTTAAATCGTCTATCGATTGACTTTTAAATAGGGCAGAGCACTGATAACAATAACAATAACATGGCCATGGTCGTTTTTTTTTTATAATAGTCTCTCATTCTAGAACGGTTCAGAGATCCAAACCGATAGATTTGAGTTTATATAGTTTATATTGTGAAGGTAGTTGCGAGCACTCCGTGCTAGCTTGTCTGTCCTCTTGTTTTCGGCGTGTGAAATATGCTTTATGAAGAAAGATGTGAATTCTTTCTTGCTTCTCTCATATTCCTCCAAATGTAATTTGAAAGCCAGTGTCACAATTTCAAGGACCAACGGGTGTGATAGTCAAGCTAAGGACTCAACCAGGAGTTGGAGAGCATACTCAACTCATTTAGAGTTTGTCACGAAGAAGAATCAGCTAAAAAGAAGTCCATATGAAGAAGATATTGAAGATACAAATTGGCAGATTTTCAATGAACCCGCTGGAGACATGCAACCACTAATAAATCCATTCTGGCCAAACGACGACGAATCAAGCCACAATACCAGATGTTTTGGAAACTTAACTCATCAGAGAACCAAGAAAAATTAGATTCATACCGAAATTCAATATGGTTTAAGAGTTATTCAACTTTTAAACCGGATGATGTTCAGCTTGCCTTATTTGGAAGGTCACGAGTTTAATCACTTACAAAGAAGGTTTTGGCGACCAGGAGATACATCTAAACATTCAGAAGACTTATCCAAGCGTCCAGAATAGTCAACTATCAGCTTTTCATACACCAGCAACCATAGGATCAGGCGGATCCTCTTGTTCACAAACTTACCATATCCAGAAGCGTTCACACTTGGAGTCATAAATCATCAACGACCAAACCTTCAAAGCTACAACGTTTTGGGGTTATTATCTACACCTCCACACCTATTATGGTGCACTAGACCACACTAGATCAGGCGGATCACATTCAAACTTAAGTTACCCCATTTGGAGCAGATTTGCATCAAACTACAACAGCAACATTCTAGCCAATATATCAGCCTTTTGCATGATTATTGGGAAATGAAAAACGTCCCAAAGAAGCTCACTTACACCTTCAAGCCATCCAGATACAAAGTCAGCAAAGAATCCCTTGATTCAGTCCATTTATCATCACTATCAAAGGGCTTCAAAATCCCTTAAACCTCTCTTTTTGATTCTTTTATGATTTTTACATGATTTTCTCTTAAAATTAATGTGTAGAACGTATACTGAGCAACTATATAAGTTCATCTAGTATTTCATTGTAATTCACCTTTCAATCAACCAAGAAAATATAAAGTTTATTCTTCTTTTTATTGAAAGAGTGTCTTTGTTTAAATATTTGTCTTTAGATTCATTTGAGTGATTCATTTGTTTCTAATGATTCTTGGAATAGAAGTGTTTGTGAGATTCAGGCAAGTCTAGTTCCAATGGCTGAGTGAGTCAATCATCCAAGGATTGAGAGAGTCAATCAAATTTCCACCACCATTGCTACATCCATCCCACTTCCGCCCCAAGCTAATTGATCAGTTTTGATCTCCATTTGTTCTAAGGTTGTGGAGTGATTCCCAATCTTGTGTCAGGCGGTTAATATTCTGGTTTGGACATCATCTTCACCAGTTTAAGGCAATTTGTAACAAAAGTCACCTCTAATCTTTACGCGTCGAGCATACAATGCATAACCCATATCATTGCCTCTAGTTTTGTGTGTAATGAAGAAATACTCCGTCTAACATTTTTGGCCCCCATAAGTGTGTTAACCGTCTCTTATCCTTGACAAAACCAACCGAGTCTCGCATTTGGGATGTCTCCTTTCAAGATCCGTCTGTTTCGCATATAAAATCCAAGTTCACCGTAGTATCCACTTGTGCAAAACCTAGACATACCAATTGATCTTCCTTAGATTGTGCCAGCGTCCAAATCTCAGGTCATGATCGCTTTGTCTCACAGCATGAT